TCTTTTTTTTTTTTTTTTTGAGGTTTGGCACGTAATTAATGTGGTAATTATAGTTTTATTTAGTTCGCAGGGTATTAATCAAAGATGTAATTTTTTTAGTGCAGTGGTCCTAATTTCCCCATAAAATATTTTGTACGTAAATCCAAATTTTTTTTAATACTTTTTAATTACACATTTTCCAAAAATTCACTATTCAAAACATTATTTTTCCCAAATAATAACCATCAAACATGGGCTAATTATATATTTTTTATACGGCAAATTTAATCACTAATTTATATTATTTTGAATAATTATTTTTAAATAATTTCATAAAGAAAATGAGCCTCTAGAGTTCTTGTTTAAAAGTGGATTTTGTATAAAGTGATTTTTTAAGAATGTGATTAAAAATGATAAAAATATGTATAAAATTATTTTATTAAGATAATATGCTCTTGTTTGGGCTCAATTATTCAAAAAATACATTTTTCTTTTTCTTATTTTCAACCATACGTTCTCTAATAAAATAGTATTACACGTGAATCTAAAACTTTTCTTATCTTTTGACTATATATTCTTCAAAAAATTACAATTCCAAAATACATTTTCTTCTAAAATCACATTAAAACAGAGCCCAAACAAGGGCTATATACCTCCGGTTAGCTTATATAAAAATAAAACTTTTGAGTACTTACTACATAACGTCTTTACTTTCCACTATGACTTAATAGCACAAAATGTCCCCACGTTTGGCAAGTAGTGTGCAAAATGTCCATACGTTTCAAATTTTTGCATTTTCACCCATATTTCAACGTTTCATTGCGGAAAACGTCATTTTCACCTATTTTTGATATAAAATGACCAATATACCCTAATATATAAATAAAACAAAAAATAAAAATAAAAATAAAAAATAAATTACAATCTTGCTCTTAAACTTTTTAAAAAATACAAATGAGTCCAAAATTTATTTGTGCCAAATTGACACCCACCCCACCCCACCCCACCCCAATCATCTTCTTTTACACCCACCCCTACACCACCTCTTCCACCCAAGAAAACGCAATCACCGAACCTCCTCTCTACCTCCAAAAATTCCGACAGTCATAAGAGGAGAAACCATACCAAATGTATAGTGAGGAACAAAACCCAGGAACCCCTTTGTCTCTCGCCCTTCCCCGTCGGTCATTTCCTGCAACGCGCCTTTCAGTATTCCACCTCCGTCGTTGCCTCCTCTAATCCCAAAAAATCTAATGGGCCCAGTGGCAAAATTACGGATGAGTTTATTGGAAAAGGCAAGATTGGGAAGGTTTACTAGGTGATCGGTGCCATGGTTGATGTGAGGTTCGACGAGGGATTGCCGCCTATTCGACAGCGTTGGAGGTTTTGGAAAATCAGATCAGGTTGGTTCTTGAGGTCGCACAGCATTTGGGTAAGAATGTTGTAAGGTGTATTGCTATGGAAGGTACTGAATGGTTTGTTCGTGGCCAGAGAGTGCTCAACACGGGCTCTCCCATCACCGTGAGTTTTGTCCCCAGAGAGCCCTTTTGAGATTTTTGTTGGATAAAATAACAGTAAAGTGCAGAAAAACTTATCAAAAGATCGAGTCTCGTGACAGCACGATGTCCTAAAGCGAAATTGCCCGTCGATAACTCTGCGACCTCTGTGGACAATCACCTCCAGGATACAACGATCAAATAAACCAATTGTGCAGCAATCACAAAAGGTTTTCAGAACTCTCAAGTGTACTCCAGAAATATGTAAAATTAAAAACAATTTTTTTTCTGTATAGAAATATATAATCTCGTTTTTCTTGTTATTTTCTAATACCCAAAAGTCTGTTTATATAGGCAAAAAGAGATATAACTTCTTCCACCATGATATAGTATTAAGTTGCAGATGTAATAACCAATGGTAATGGGTATTAATATTGGGCAGTTAAAACTGTCATATTCTACTGGCTAGTTGACCCATTAAATAATTCCGAAAATGATTAAAAAAATATATAATTATTTTATTAGAATCAATAAAGCCCAAGAGGCGTGGTTCGAACACCTGACCTCCCACACAAATTCCACACTTTTCACCAGTTGGGCACTACATCTTAATTAATTATTTCTTTCAAATATTATATTTATTGTATAAATATATAACAATCTTTACCTAGGAAACACAGAAGAGAAAAAGAATCAGTCTTGCAGCCATGATTGTAGTGTAGTTGAATTGTGTTAAGGAAGTCTTGCTCTTTAATAGAGGAAAATTTATCTCGTTGTTCCAAAAGTGCTCTTGTATGGTAGCTAAACCAGATGAGTCGAGTGGGACACATCAACAAATTCTGGGGCAGGGGTAGAAGAAGATGATTGGGATTGGGGTTGGGGTTGGGGTTGTGGTTGGGATGGGGGGAAGAAGAAGATTTAGGTGTCAATTTGGCACAAATAAATTTTGGACTCGTTTGCATTTTTTTAAAAGTTTAAGAGTAAGATTGCAATTTATTTTTTATTTTTATTTTTTGTGTTTATTTATATATGAGGGTATATTTGTCATTTTACATAAAAAAAAAATAGGTAAAAATGACGTTTTCCACAATGAAACGTTGAAATATGGGTGAAAATGCAAAAAATTGAAACGTAAGGACGTTTTGCATACTACATGCCAAACGTAGGGATATTTTGTGCTATTAAGCCTTTTCACTATTATTGTGAAAAATGTTTCTACCTTCATTTTTGACATTTTCACCTTTAATTACACTTTTGATTGCGTAAAATGTCATTTTCATCCATTTTCTCTGTTAAGTGAAGGGTATTCTCGTCATTTTTTTTCTCATTTCTTCCCTATTTAAACCCATTTTTTCCTCTAAAATATCAAATTCGATCAAATCCAGATCGGCTATGTTCTTTTATGCTTGAGCCCTTTTGTAGAGTGCCTTGTATTCTCGAGTTCCAAGACTTCCCTTATTAACACAAATGAAATCCGTGATTTGAAAAAGCAGTTAAAAAAAACCAACTATTCAACTTTAATAAAATAATATTATACGTAAATATTAAAATTTTTCTTTATCTTTTAACTACATATTCTTAAAAGAAAATATTATTTCAAAATATATTTTCTCCTAAAATCATATTAAAATAGAGCCGGAACAGAGGCTATATACCTCCCTTTCACTTATATATATACTTTTGAGTAATTAGCACATAAGTCCTTACCTTTCACTTTTATTGTGAAAAATGTGCATATTTTCATTTTTTTTTTTTTTTGGACATTTTCACTCTTAATTACACAATTGATTTTGCAACGGTCATTTTCATCCATTTTCTATTAAGTGTATTCTCATCATTTTTTCTTTCTTCCCAATTTGAACCCATTTTCTCCCCTATTTCTTCCTTTGAAATATCAAATTTGACCAAATCTAGATCAGCTATATTTATGTATGCTTGAGCCCTTTCTATAAAAGTGCATTCACATTTGTACTCTCAAGTTCCAACACCTTCATACATTTTCCTCATCAAATACAAATGAAATCCATGATTTGAAAGGCAGATAAAAGAAACCAATTATCCAGCCGAACAAACCTTTGTAGATAGCTTATCGGCCTGCTTATAATCATTCAATTTCCATTTGAAAGTGAAATTTAGTACTTTGAACTGTTTATTTTCCTCCTCATCGAAAGAAGTGTCATACTCAATGTACTTGGTAGTTGAGTTTAAAATCCCCCGTGTGAGGCACATGACTTAAAGATACATGGCAAATGAATAAAGCTTCTTGTACATTAATTGGTTGACATGGAGTTTGACATTCCATGTATTTTCAAATGAAAATGGGCGAAAATGTGTATTTTATTTTAAAACTGTCCACTCATGCCATGGTGACATGGAGTTTGACATTCCATATATTTTCAAATACATATGAGCGGGAAAGTGGATTTTATTTTAAAACTGTCCACTCATGCCATAACACGTGGCACAATGTCAAATCAAGTATACATGTAGCATGATTGCATGGCAAATACTACTTTGCTATCAAATCAAGTGGAGTTGAAATCCATTGGGAATTATTACCTTTTCATCCCTATTTGAGGCCCTCACATATTTCTCGACCTTGAATAGCACGTTACCTCTACCGGCAACCTCAATCTTTTTTTGGGTGTTTATGTCCCAAGAAACCAAAGGTTAATTTTCAGAGAGAAAAATAAAGGAGAAAATGGGTTCAAATGAGGAAGAAAGAGGAAAAAATGACGATAATACTCTTCACTTAATTGAGAAATTGGATGAAAATGATATTTTGCTTAATTAAAGATATAATTAAGGGTGAAAATGTCAAAAAATAAAAAGTAAGAACATTTTTCACAGTAATAATGAAATGTTAGGAGATTATATGTCAATTATCCCAAATTGTTTTTAAAAAATTTTAATGGAAGAGAATGAAATATTTAAAATTAATTTTAGATTTGACTTAAATTTTAAATTTTAAGCAAACATAGATAGGCAAAAATATGGGTTTTGAAAACGGTTCCAGGAATTCCTCATATTGGATATATTTCTATTGCGCCGGATATCCAGAAAGTTTCTCAGGAAAATGGGAACGGCGGCAGAAAGCGGCGGCGTAAGTCTATCGGAACTGTACTCCAGCTCGAAGCGGCTGTTGCTGAAGACCAGAGAATCATTAGAGAGGATTGAGCGTCTCGAGTACATGTCATCCTCTTCATTCTCATCATCAAGCACCTTCGTTCCTGGGACTTCAGATGATCAAGCCGCTGTAATCCGAAGAGACATTAACCAGATCCAGTCCCTCTGCGTCAACATGGATCGTCTCTGGCGTTCCATCGCCGCCAAGTCTCAGCGCGATCTCTGGAAAAGGTGTGTGCGAGGGTATTTATGGAGTTGAATTAATGAATTTGATGTTAGGTAGGAATTCGCGTTGTGTGTGTGATTATAGATTCTTGATTTGATTGACTGGAATTGGAATTGGAAAATTTGGGAAAAGGATTAAAGAAGCCATTGATCTGCAATGTTAGTAGTTAAATTGAAAGTGCATTTTTAAAATTGGAAAGATATAGGTTGAATTCCAGTAATATGTGGCATTATCGATTTGATGCTGCTCGTATGATCATGGTGATTACTAGTTGCATTACCAATGCAACAATATGAATTGTTGTACATGTGCAAGCAAAATGGGGTCTCCAATGGGATGTTGATTACACTAATAATGGGCCACATGTACAAGAAATTGGATGTAGATAAAGAAGGGGAGATAAATTATAAAAAATTAAATAAGCGCATCCTCCAACTAAGATAAATTATACAAACATTAAGTGGACGATGTGGATGGTGTGCTAGATACCCTCCACCTTTTTCCTTGCCATGCAAACATATTGGTGTGATGTGGCAATCCACAGCCCAATTGGAGATGCTCTAAGATGAATAATTTCTATAGTCATGTTCATATATACGATAGTGCATGAATTTCCTAGCTTTTGCTCAATGTGTGCCAGGCAAAACTGACGATCATCTCTGTGTTTCTTTGAACTTGTTTCTCTGATCCTTAATTATCTGTATCAATTCTTATTTACATGTTCTGTTGCATATTTTCGTGTAAAGAAGACATGAGCTAGGTGAGGTGTCATTCACTGGTTGGGGACTAAAAATTGGAGGGTGTGATACTGTTTTGCAGGAGATTGGATGCTGAGAAATTGAGAATATTAGTGCAAGGGTTCTTAATTTTGCGTGGGGGCTCATTATAAAATGATGCTTTGGTGGTGAGATGGACATGGTTTTCTTTTTCTTTATGACGGGGTTAAAAAATGTAGAAACTAACAAACTACTAAGTCTACTAGTTTGTAGGTTCATTATAATATCGGCTTCACTCCAACACCAAACTAGCCCCTGATTTTTTTTTAAGTTCTCTTTCCAAGTAGATTTCTTCACTTCCCTCCAAGGACTGGTCAAATTGTACAATTTGGAGGTTTTCGAGTTCTTCATCAATTACCCATGTGTATAGAAAGACAATTATCTTCCACTGTTGTTGTATTCAGGCAGATCATATAATTATTAGCTTCCAACCAGCAATGTTTGCTTTTCCTCTTTTTCGGTTCGACTGACATTGGGTGTTCCCGGACAGATTAGAACATTAATAATTTTTGGAACTTCTGGTGTTAATTTGTGAAAAATTCATTAAGCACAAATTTTGGTTCTCCACGTGTTATTCACAAGATTTTCTTCTTTTTCTTATTGTTCCTCATCTTTGATAAAAGTCCTTCATTTAAGTCGCAATGATCATATAACTTCAGCACTTCACTGCACATTCATGTTTAGCTGGAAACAAGAAATTCTCTACTGATGTATTCGCTGAAGATTTCTAGTTCGTGGTTTTAAGAGTAGGATTTAGAAACATGATCTACATCTCCTGATAGTTTAAGTGGATTTTATGGTCTTTTTTTGCAATTTGTAATTTTGTTTTTAGACTGAAGCGACCTTATCTATGTTGTGAAGAAAAGTGGAGCAAGTGGTTGAGGAGGCTGAGTCATTTAAAACTAGTCTTGACAAGTACATATCACGGCATCAGAAGCGGATGCAGGAAGTCCAAGAGAGAGCAGAATTACTTGGAAGAGCTGTATGGATTCTTCTTTCTTGATTTTCTGGTTTTCCTTTGCCTTGTTGTTTCTTTCATTAGATAACTTATCTGCGTGTAGTTCTCCTTTTATGTTCCAGAATGGGGAATCCTCTCATATCTTGAGAATTTTTGATGAGGAAGCACAAGCAGTACAGTCAGTCCGTAACTCCTCTAGAATGCTAGAAGAAGCTTATGCGACTGGCGTTGCAGTTCTTTCGAAGTATAGCGAGCAAAGGGATCACTTGAAGGTATTAGATTTAAAATACATGCAAAATACAAATATATGTAAATCACTTAACAGTGTGTTAAATTGATGCCTGCCAAATACAGATACACATAAATGTATGTATAAAAGGGTTGCGGCTGCCGTCCCAACCTTTATTCCTTTTGCACTTTTAACCTCAGCATTGTTTCTTGGCACTACTATCCCAACCTTTCATATATTAGCATCTATAGTCCTTACTAGCAGATCCCGCCAAAAAATTCGTTAAGATGGTGATAATAGACAAAATTTTCCTTCAACATAAATAAAATAAAAGAAATTAATAAAGAAAAAAATTAAATGATGAAAAAATTCATCTTCCCCGGTGGTGCCCTCCTCCCTAAAAATACACGCACATTTCAATTGCCCATTTCTCTACCTCAAATGTAATGCTCCAAACCCTTAGGTTTTCTCCTTAGGACCTAAATGCCCAAATTTGAATTTCAAGGACCAAGTAGAAAACCTTTCAATAGTTGAGTGGGCTTATTTTCAATATCCAAAGGTTGCAGATTTCCTGGCAGTGAATAGTAATCCCTCTCTTACAGTAATTGCTAAAAATAACTATTAAGAAATATGTTTTGGATATCTTTGAGGAATATAAGGAAGGGAATGGGGAAATTTAGGGAGATTGGAATTTATTTTTGCAATCAAATATGAAATTAATATCCTTATATGTTGAAATAGGAATAAATTATATTACTATATATTCTCACATTTTAGAAAATGCATAATGGAACATTACATATCTTTGATTTTAATTGACTTTCATATGTTAAGCATACAAGGAAAATGAATTATCATTTTCCTAAAAAAGAATTATCATTTTCCTATTCATGGTAGCGCTTAGAGATTTAATTAAAATGTTTGGTTACATTTATATATACGATACATAGATAGACATAATTTAATATGTAATTGAATATAATAGGATTTATGTGCATGAATTGTCTCATGTTTGAATATAATTGGTATTTATATATGCATAATTATGTTGATTGGAGACAATTACATAATAAAATCTTCTAGAATGAGCAAAAATTATCTTTTTCTCACGGTAAATTGAATGAAAGAATAAAGTATTTCATAATAAGCACAAGTCCCTCCCCACCTATAAATACACACACCTCTCAACATGTTCAATCCACAACATACAAACTCACACGCTCCACTAAAGTTCTTCACGTTTGGACAGTGAAAATACAGAGAGAAAGTGTTAGTTTTTCGAAGTCCAAAATTTTTTTTGCAAGGTTTTAGGGATGGAATTAAGTTTTCTTGTTCTCATCTCATCACTTAAATCAATAAGATTATATATATGCCACTAAAATAACATGCAATCCAAATGAGATAAAGATATCCTATGAACATATATTTAGAAGGGAAAATGGAGCCATTTCATTCTCGACTTGTAGACATTGTTTCTTTAATGTAGTACTACAATCCCCTCATCAGCTTCAATCTAAGTAGTAGGACCCAATCCCATTTTAATCTAATTGTTAGGCTTTCATAATATCATGAAAAATCATAGGGATGATACTTATCTTTCAAAAGGACATGAATTTTCGTAACAATATATTTTACCTTGATGATTTGAGTGATGAGATAACTTGAAAACTTGATTCCCTCCTTTGAAACCTTGGAGAATTTCCTTCAACTTTGAAAAATCAACACTCCCTCAAAATGCGAAGAATTTTAGTAGAGTGTGTATGTGAATAAGACTGTATTGTAGAGTAAATGTGTTAAGATATACGTGTGTTTATAGGCAATGAAGAGCTTAGTCAATTGTGCTTATTATGGAAGACCTTAATCTTCTAATTATTTTGTCCATGAGGAAAAGGTAAGTTCTACTCATTCTAAAAGATTTGATTATATAATTGTCTCCGATAAACATAACTTATGCACATATAAATGTATTCAATCGTCTTAATTTAGCCCCTGTTTGACATCCATTATTTGAATTTTTTTTTCTACGTACTCATTTTCAATCACATGTTCACACAATAAAATATTTTACACGTAAATCTAAAACTTTTTCTTACTTTTTAATCACATATTCTCCTAAAAATCAATATTTAAAGAGCTAGTATGGAAGATGAGCTTTTAATTATGAACACCTAAATGGTAATTAAGTGTGTGTTTAGAAGTGATTTTAAGCTATGTCCTATGGTATGTGTGGATTATGAGTGAATGGGTAGTAGTTGTGGGCTATGATTCATGGACGTTCTTACTAGTGTTGCGTGTCATGACGTGTCGTGTTAGTCATCGATGCTTCTCGGACATTGCTTGACATGTACTAAATGTTTTCTTCCCCTAGTAGTATAACATCTAGTTTAAACTTAAAGTTATTTCTTTATAAAAATAGATACTCAACCAATATAAAAGATTTCGCCCACAAAAATGAAAACTAATAAAAGAATTGATTTTATTGTAAGATAAAAAGTATAAATATAAAGAAAGAATATATAAATCTACAATTTTAAAGAATTTAAATTAACTTGTCCTTGACATGTCCATGTGGTGTCGTGTCCGACACTTGTGTATGTATCCATGCAACATAGATTGTGGGTACTACAAAATGTATGAATAAAAAGTATGTTTAACCATTATTATAATTTAATCACTTCCAAAAAGGCATGAAAATTTTCCTTCTCATCGATAACCTTCTGAAAATGATTGAGAACAATTGTGGAGTGGTGCCAATCGATGACATATAAAGCCCAATTATTTCTTCATTTTATTTGTTTTGTTTCATTTTAGATTTGGGGTATGATTTTCTCAATTTTTGGTCAATGATTTTTGGTGTGCCTCATGGGTGCACACAAGAAGATGAAAAGGAGGAACTGTGTTAAGGAGAGGAATCTGTTGGAATTGTGTGTGGGTTGGGAGTGGGGGGGGGGGGGGGGGNGGGAGCAAGGAAGATGAAATATTCCATCGTTTCTGATTATTTTTTATCTTTTTGCTTATATGAATGAAGGGTAGTTTTGTATTTTTACATTGCCTGTAACTGATTTTCTAGATTGAAACTGTTAGAAAAAGACTAGTTTTTCTAGATGGAAACTGTTAGAAAAAGACTAGATTTTCTAGATGGAAACTGTTAGAAAAAGACTATGGACCCCAATTTATTAAAGGTTTGAGGATAACAATGCCAAAAACAGAAAATGGTACAAAAGGGTTTACCCTGTATAAAATGTGTATAGACAAATGAAAATATAATAGTTAAATACTTTGTATACTGGTTTGCCTAGATGCCACTGGCTGACATCTTTACCAGTATAATTTACTCAGAATTGAGCTTTACTTTCCCTTAGGCGTTTTTTTTTTCATCGAAAATTCTGGTTCAGATGCATTTAGGAATGGTCTGTATTTACTTATGTTTACTAATGTCTCCTGTATGACTATGGTATACATTACTCGTGTGTTTTGGAAGTGAAACTTTTTCTGCTCCCTTTTGTGACTTGGATTTCGGAAATGAAACTTTTTCTGCTGTTAGACTTGTAATATCCTCTAGATGAGAAAGGAATTTGTCAGTCTTGTCTAATGCTGTCATCATTTATATCGAATCATTGCAACTTTGTTGGTGTACTCAGAAAATGAGAACTTCCAATCTAGAGCACCAATTTGGGAAAATGCAAGTTGAATTTTTCGTACAGGGGTACTAGTACTGATAAAACTTCTCGTTGGATTTGGTGCAGAGAGCTCAAAGGAAAGCACTGGATGTTATGAACACTTTGGGGCTATCGAACACTCTATTGAGGCTTATTGAGAGGCGGAATCGTGTTGACAAATGGATCAAGTATGTAGGCATGGTTTTTACCATCATCATCGTTATTGTGTTTTGGAGGTGGACGAGGTGATTCCGGCTTCCTTATGTATCAAACCATCACTATACATTCTTTTTCCTTCTATAATCTTTTCAAGGAAGATAATGTTGCTAGATGTTAGAGAAACTGAAAATATGGTCAACCGTTGATTTAGACTTGGTTCCAATGTATTCTCGTGAGGACTATTTTTGAGATTGTGTTTTACTTTGTAAAATGTGGAGAAAAGTTTAGAACTACTACTGAAATCACAATTTTCCCTCCATTTATGTGAAAGCTGAAATGGTAAGCTTTGTATTTTCTACATGGAGGTGAAATAGCTCTATTGTGATAGATTGGTGCTATCACTTGTTCTACGTTATTCTAAACGATTAGAGGCTTTTACCTCGTGAGGATGTGAATTCTACATCATTCTTCAGACTTTGGAAGATAAACGTTCTTCCAA